GCTCAAGTCGATTAAGTTCTTCGATTCAACACTTATCGCTGCGATGTAGCCTTGACAAGTACCGAATCAAACGTATTCGTGCCCTAAACCCGAACCCTCGACCCTAGAGCCTAAACCCTCAAGCCCCAGACCCCAGAAGGCTTAAGGGCTCAATGATCTGAAGCTCGACACCCCTCAAAAAGCTTTCGGAGGGCTTTGGGTGTAGGGTAGGGACCCAAGCAGACCCCGTGCATAATCGTGGCAGCCCATGTGGCTGTCACAAAATGCCAAAGAATCCCAACAGCCAATTTGGCCATTGCTTTTCAGTGGCTTTTCCCTCTAGCGAATGTATGGCCATTTCACACAAATATTGGCTACATGCCATATTTATACATTTGGAAACTTCCTGCAGGGCCTTTAGTTCTCTAAGGCATATTCCGCAAAGGCCGTAAAAACACGATGACCACGTCAATCTCTGTAAGCCCCAGGAAGCCCCATCAACCTCCAAAACCCTCATTACCCTTAATTTCAAGCCGAAAAAAAACGCTCCAAAAATCCTGTGAACTAAGCCCTAAGCCCTAAACCCTAAACCCTAAACCCTAAACCCTAAACCCTATAACCCTATAACCCTATAACCCTATAACCCTATAAACCCTAAACCCTAAACCCTGCAAACCCTAAACCCTGAACCCTAATCCCTGCAAAGCAAAAACCCTGAAATGGCACCTCGAGGGCGACGCCAGGGTCCAGGCCATCGAGCCAGCAGGACCTCCACTCAGAGGCTCATGGTACTTAGGGGTTCAGGGTTTAGGGTTTAGGGTTTAGGGTTTAGGGGTACATATTAACCAACTATAGCTGTGCTTATAGCTGTACTTGTAACCATATTAGATCACACTTAAGGATTTAGGGTTTTAGGGTTTAGGGCCTAGGGCACTTAAGGGGCTTTTAAGTGGTTATAAGTACATATATAGTTGGTTAACAAGTACCATGAACCTCCAAGTGGGTCCCGCAGATCCGGGCTTTTCAAGGGGGAGTGGACCCCTTTAGGGTTGTAGGGGTTTAGGGTTTAGGGTTAGGGTTTCGGGTTTCGGGTTTCGGGTTTCGGGTTTCGGGTTTCGGGTTTCGGGTTTCGGGTTTAGGGTTTAGGGTTTAGGGTTTAGGGTTTAGGGTTTAGGGTTTAGGGTTTAGGGTTTAGGATTCAGGATTCAGGGTTCAGGGTTTCGGGTTTGCCGTTTAGGGGGGTTTAGGCTTCAGGCTTTCAGGCTGTGTCTTCTGGGGGACACAGGTTCACCTTTGAGATGTTTAGGGGTCCCTAAACCCCAACCCCTAAACCCTAAACCCCAAACCCTAAACCCGAAACCCTAAACCCTGGGAGGCCGCAGCTCTCCCAAAAACAAACACCCGCCCCCAGAGCAAGAAAGCAGGGCAGCCCCACAAGCGGTCGGCGATGAGCGCGATGTGCTGAAGGAGCCAAACCTGATCTTCTAGGGTTTAGGGTTTAGGGTGTGGGGTTTAGGGTTTATGGTTTCGGGTTTGGGGTTTGGTTTTTAGGGTTCAGGGGTTTGAACCTAACCCTAAGCCCTAAACCCCAGGGATTAGCTTAAGGGCTTAAGGTTTAGGGGTGTTGAGGGTTTGTGTGCGGGTTTACGATATTGGGGGTATCTTACTGGGGTCCTTATTATAACGGCAATCCTACGATTCGAGGGCCTAGACCCTAAACCCTAAACCCTAAACCCTAAACCCCTGATTTCGTAAACCCCCCTGTTTGGGCTGCCAATGCTTGAGGGCCCACCTTCTGCATCCAGGGCAGGTGGATGGCTGGCAGAAGCTGCAGAGAACGATGAAGGCTGGGCACCTTGAGGTTCAGGTTTTAGGGTTTAGGGTTTGGGGTTGATTTAGGGTTTAGGCTTTAGGGTTTGGGGTTTAGGGTTTGGGGTTTAGGGTTTGGGGTTTAGGGTTTGGGGTTTAGGTTCGTGTTTAGGGTCTTTGGGCTTTGGGAAACTTACGGGTTGAGGCTTCTGAGTGAAGAAGCATCTGGTGTGCAAGGGGCATTGGGCTTCCCCTAAACCCCTAATCCCCTAAACGCCTAAACCACTAAACCCCTAAAGCCCTAGAGCCCTAAGCCCTAAACAACCCCTAAACCCCAAGTCCTGAATCCCTGAACCCCTAACCCCCAAAATGGTAAACCCCCTTGTGTCATGTCCCAAGGCGGCCACAAGCCAAAGCAGCGGCCACAGCTCATCGACGTCTCCTTTCAAGGCAGGCCTCCGGGTTTTGAGGGTTGTGGAGGGTTTAGGGTCTGTAGGGCTGTAGGGTTTAGGGTCTCTAGGGTCTCTAGGGTCTCTAGGGTCTCTAGGGTCTCTAGGGTCTCTAGGGTCTCTAGGGTCTCTAGGGTCTCTAGGGTCTCTAGGGTCCATGGGGTCTGTAGGGTTTAGGGTTTAGGGTTTATGGTTTAGGGTTTGAGTTTTGAGAATTTTGGGGTGCAGGGCCTAGGAGGCTTTGAGGGTTGTGGAGGGCTTTGAGAGGAGTTGGCGGTTTCGGGGTTTTAGTGCTTTGGCAACTTTGAGGGTGTTGGGCTCAGGGCTTCAAGGCTTTTCCGGTTCTTTCCGGATGGGGCTTTAGGATTTCGGGGCTGTTTTGTATTCAGGTTTTAGGGTAATGTGGGCTGAGGGACTTGGAGTTTTCGGGGGGCTTTGAAGGGGCTCAGGGCTTTCCGCAAGGATCTTCGGATTCCAGGGGCTCAGGCGTGTAGGCCTGCGGCCTGCCAACCCTGAGCTTTCAGCCCCCTGTGGCTAAATCCTAAACCCTAAACCCTAAACCCTAAACCCTAATTAAACCCTAAACCCTGAACCCTGAACCCTGAAACCCTAAACCCTAAATTTTCAACCCTGCCTGAAGCCCAAACCCCGCAGTCCCCATAAACCCCCTGCGCCATCTGCTCTGGGCTTCCGGCAGCGCATTGGCCGCCGCGTCGCGCAATTCACGCAGCGCCTCTCACGCATGATGAAGCAACCCTAAAGCCTAAAACCGTAAACCAAAAAACCCTAAGCCCCAACCGAAACCCTAAACCCTAAACCCTAAACCCTAAACCCTAAAACCCCAAACCCTCAACCCTAAACCCTCTAGGGTTTAAGGGTTGCTTCCACCCTGAAGCCCATGGCCTTCAGGGGCGCTGGGAGTTGGGGATTCCCGAATGCCCCCGCCTTTTGTCAAGCTAACATTTGTCTGGCTGTTTCCCTTATAGTACATGAGTCTGACATGAAGCTTACACTGTTCCTGAAAAGAGGATTTTCGGAAGCAGCAACTTACCCCTGAAACTGCCCTTTAGTTCCGGGGTTTGGGGGCGTTTTGGCGTATTACGCTGTGAGAGCTTCCTCGGGTTGAGGAAGGGTTGAGTCGCGAGAACCGTCGAGCCGCTAAATGCTTAACCTGCCCTGCCCAACCTTTAAGCTGAAAAAGTTCGAATTCCCTGAGCCAGGGATTGTTTTAAAAGACTTCAGCGAGGGTTTCTAGGTTGCAGGCAACCCTAAACCCTAAACCCTGAACCCGAAACCCTAAACCCTACAGGTAGCTCTTCGAATCCTCGAGACATGAGTGAGCCGTGCCTGCCAGCCCCACTGAACTGCTCGATGCCTCAGGCATGGCAGAGTAAGCACCGTCCTCCCCCGACGCCATACAAACAACAACGCCCCTAAACCCTAAACCCTAAACGCTAAACCCTTCAGCCTCAACTCTACTTCCGAAACCCCTACACCCAAAACCCCAACCATCGAGATTTCGGAGTTGGGCCGCAGGGCTTGGCACTCTGAAACCCTAATTCCTAAACTAAACCCTAAACCCTAAACCCTAAACCCTAAACCCTAAACCCTAAACCCTAAACCCTAAACCCTAAACCCTAAACCACCAAAGCCCTCAATTTGTGACATGGTACGACCTTGACTTCAGAAACAATCATCGAGCCCCTCGCCAAATGACTAAGTGCAGACTGCCTCCTTAGGGTTGAGGGATTTTTTGGGTCTAGGGACTTCAGGGTTTAGGGGAATTTAGGGTTTAGCGGTTTAGGGATTAGGGATTAGGGTTTAGAGCTATGCAACTCGAACCTACAAAAGGACAAGGAGATGTTCAGAACAGGGTGGCGTTGCGCACCCTCTGAAGTAGGAGCCTCGCTTACATTACGGCCCCAGAAAAAATCCGGGTACTTTCAAAGAAGGACCCTAACTTCCGAGAACTGACAGCCCCTAAACCGTAAACCTTAAACCCTAAACCCGCAACCCTACACCCTAAACCCTAAACCCTAGCCCTAAACCTAAATCCTAAGCCTAAACCCTAAACCCTAAACCCTAACCCCAAACCCTCAACCCTAACACCCTCTGCAGCCCTGGGCGTCCCCACCCGGCAGCGTCGGGCGGACGCGGAGGCGGTCGAGTCGGCTTCGGAACCTGGCAGTCTGACGAGCCGAGAGATTTGGGTCAGGATTAGGGTTTAGGGTTTGGGGTTTAGGGTTTGGTGTTTAGGGTTTGGGGTTTAGGGTTTGGGGTTTTAGGGTTTGGGGTTTTGGGGTTTGAGGTTTGGGCGTTTTGGGATTTCGGGATTTTGGGGTTTAGGCTTTAGAGGGTTTAGATCTTGGTTTAGGGCGTCCTGCAACTAAGTTTAACCAAGTCAATTGCAATTAAAACGACACTTAAGCTCTACTTCTAGCTGCCCATGAACCTCCAAGTAATCCCCTTCCCACTAACATTACAACCACCTCCTCGGAATCTGATTAGTGGACTCGCTCATTTAGGGTCCCTTATGAACGGGGTTCAAAAGATTAGGGCAAGGGCCGCAAGGGGTCTAGGGCTTATAGGGCTTGGCCGATTGGCCCCCCTCAAGCTGGAAGGCCTGGAGCTCTTGAAAAGTCAAGACGAACAAACAACAGCATCAGGGCCCCCAAGCCCGACACTTCTGGTCCAAGCTTGCGAGCGTGCTTTTGAATGCGGCTTCTTCGACGTCGGGTGCGCAACTCGAATATACCACCCTGTTCACGTACCCATATCGTGCGCCCTGGCCTCGAGTAACAAATGCACGACTTCAACATGGCCATCTTCAACGGCCTCGCCCACTGCTGTAGCGCTGGCGTGGTTGTCCCAGTCGATGTGAGCCCCAGCCTCAAGCAACACACGTGCAACCTCGACGTGGCCGCCTCGAGATGCCAGCATAAGAGCTGTGAATCCGTTGTGTTTTGCCAAGTGGATGTCAGCGCCGGCCGCAAGGAACACTTGCACGAGCTCAACGTGGCCCTTTTGGGATACGGCCATCAAAGGTGTGAGTCCATCGTAGTTGGCCAAGTCGATATCAACGCCGGCTTTGAGCAACCAACGCACGACCTCAGCACGGCCATTTTCAGATGCTGCCATTAGAGCTGTGGTGCCGTCGCTGTCAGCAAAGTCGATGTGAGCCCAGGCACCAAGCAACAGCTTCACGACCTCAACATGGCCATGTTGCGATGCGGCAATCAGAGCTGTGGTGCCGTCGTTGTTAGCCACGTCGATGTGAGCGGCGGCCTCAAGCAACAAACGCACGACCTCAGCGTGGCCATTGCGAGAGGACTCCACCACCGCTGCGACGCCGGCATTGTTGCCCAACAGGATGTGCGCACCAGCCTGAAGCAACAAACGGGCAACCTCAACGTGGCCGCATCGAGATGCTAGCATCAGAGCTGTGAACCCGCAGTTCTCGGCCAATTCGATGTGAGCACGAGCCCCAAGCAACAAGCGCACCAGCTCAAAGTGGCCTGCCTCAGATCCGGCCATCAGAGCGGTGAGTCCGTCGCTGTTGGCCAAGTCAATGCGAACACCAGCCTGGATCAACAAGTGCACGACCTCAACGTGCCCCTTTTGAGATGCTGCCAAGAGAGCCGTCGTGCCGTCGACATCGGCAAAGTCGATGTGAGCCCCTGCCCCAAGCAACAAACGCACGACCTCAACGTGCCCCTCTTGAGATGCAATCATTAGAGGGGTCCATCCTTCCTTGTTGCCCAAGTCGGCGTGAGCATCAGTCGCAAGCAACAGGCGCACGACTTCAACGTGGCCCTCTCGAGATGCTACCATGAGAGCTGTGCGCTCGTTTTTGGTCAAGTCGATGTGTGCACTTTCCTCAAGCAACAGATGCACGACCTCCACATGGCCGCTTCGAGATGCTCCCATCAGAGCAGTCATCCCGCTGCCTCTGGCCAAGTCGACGTGAGCGCCGGCTTCCAGCAACAAAGACACGACCTCAACGTGGCCACCTTCAGATGCTCCCATCAGAGCAGTCAGTCCGTTGCTTCTTGCCAAGTCGATGTGTGCACTTTCCTCAAGCAACAAACGCACGACCTCAACGTGCCCCGCTTCAGATGCCACCATCAGAGGGGTCCATCCTTCCTTGTGGCCCAAGTCGATGTGGGCCCCTGCCTCAAGCAACAAGCACACGACCTCAGCATGGCCTTGGTGAGCGGCTTTGACCACGGCTGTGGAACCGGCGATGTCGACCAAGTGGATTTGCGCATAAGCCTCAAGCAACACACGCACGATCTCAACGTAGCCTCTTCTCGATGCTAGCATCAGAGCTGTCACTCCGTTGCTTTTGGCCAAGTCTACGTGAGCACCGGCCTCCAGCAACACACGCACGACCTCAACGTGGTCGCTTCGGGACGCTGCCATCAAAGCTGTGACACCATTGCTGTCGGCCAAGTCGATGTGAGCCCTGGCCTCATGCAGCAAACGCACGATCTCAACATGGCCGCTTCGAGAAGCCAGCGCCAGAGCTGTCCTGCCGTTATTCTTGGCCAAGTCGATGTGAGCCCCGGCCTCAAGCAGCAAACGCACGACTCCTACGTGGCCGTGCAGAGATGCCTCCATGAGGGCTGTGCTGCCATTCTCGTTTCCTGCGTCCGGGTCGGTGGGATACTGCAGCATTGACTCAACCTGGGGGGGCTCCCCAAACACCTAAGTAAAATCCGAATCGCAGCTAGAATTGGGGACAATCTGCAGAGTTATTTTGGGGTCCCATCCTCAGCCACTGAGCCTAGCGATGCAGCGGACAGCAGCTTCTTTGTCTCCGGGGCCATGCAATACGAAACCAGAACGAGCTCCAGGTCCACAGGGAAGTCTAGCTCGGTATCGTCATCCAGTATCTGGCCATCAAGAAGCAGCCGTTGCCGGAAACGCAGAGGCATGCCATGCAGCTGGTGCAAGTGCTTCTTCAATTCCTTCACATTGCTCAGGTTCTTCTCATCCTCCAGCGGCACTTTCGACTCTTCCCCCGAGAGCAGCCTTACGGAAAGCATCCTGCAAATAAGGAACAGCCAGCCGTCGGACGCGCTTGGCTAAGAAATCCCTGACCAGCCACGATGCTGCACCGGCTGCATCAGGCTTCTGGGGCCTGCAGGGTACTGACTCTCCTGAAGGCCCAAACTCTGAAAATCAAATCGGAACCTATGCACATACGGGATCCCACAATGCTTGAAGCTTAGGAGAATTGAGGGACAAGGGTTTAGGAGGTTGGGTCTGGGCCTTGGTCTTTCGAGGGCAAACCCCAAACACTAAGGGACTTGTGACTCAGGGCTCATGGATGAATTGAATTGCGCTGCGCGCAATGCGGGATCGGTGACCGGCCTCCTGGGGCCTTACTTCACTGATGGTTCCTGGGTACTTCTAAGAGTATGGATTTAGGAAATGGGCTATAGCCAGTTCTAGCTGCACTTGCCCTAAACATAAGACCCCACGTATAAGCGGCAAGGAACCCCCCAAGTAGGGCTTCAGGTTTCAAAGCCCTGCCAACCCTACAGTGTCTTAAACGGGGGTTTACAACAATAGGGGTACCTTGTTGGGGTCCTTATTATAGCGGGAATCCTACGATTTGGGGGGGGTTTATATTCGCGGTCCCTTATTATCGTAAGCCCCCAAAAGGCAAGTTCAAGCGTGGCAAGCCGACAGGCCGCTTCTTGTTGCTTGGCCTCGAGTGCAGCGGCAGTTCCCACGCCTGAGTGACTCAGTGCTAGTCAGCAGGCTATAATATATATATATATATATATATATATTTCTATGTATGTATATATATATATGTAATATAAATATAAATATAAATATAAATATAAATATAAATATAAATATAAATATAAATATAAATATAAATATAAATATAAATATAAATATAAACATACATACATATATATATATATATATATGTAAGTAAGGCCCCACATTCCGACACCCTGATTTGCAACCCCACAACGACTAAGCTCCCCAACTCAAAACCCTCAAATGTGTGAAGGCACTTCCCGTACAGTCGGTGGGCAAAGACCAGGACGGGCTATTATACCCTATAGCCCCTTAAAAAGGCAGTTTATAGGGTTGATTGGGGATTATAGGGCCTAATAGCCCGTCCTGGGAATCTTTTTTTTTGGCGCGGCTGCCTCCACTCTCGCCCTTCTACGCCTTCCTGCTGCTCTCGTCGGCCAACCAGGATGGGCCATTAGGCCCTAGAATCCCCATAATCAAGCGTAGAAAGGGCCTTCTTAAGGGGATACAGGGTATAATAGCCCGTCCTGGAATGCTTGGCTTGTCAAGCTACCTTCCGGGAGTGCTCTTCGTTTGGCTCCTGCTCTTCTGCTCTTCGATTTGCCTCGCTTGCTGCTTCTTCCTGACATCTTTGGGGCTTAGGGTTTAGGGTTGCTCATTGGCATCATCTTCATCTCGTGCATCGTCTCCTTTCCCTCCGTGGCACTCAAGTTGCCTACTTTGGGGTTGGGGGTGGGGGGGGGGGGCAGGGGGGGGGGGGGGGCTGGTTGCAGCGGATCATTCCGCGCCGTCTTCGTGGACACCGCCCGAAAACCCAAGAGGCTTGGGACTTAGGAATGTCGTCAGCCATACTGGCCACCACCTGCGGCCTGACAAATGCACAAGGGTCGTTGCAGCCGCATGGGCCCGAACGCCACAAAGAGCATACCCCAACACCATCCCCAAAGCCCGCTCCGTTCATGCACTCAAACCTGTATCATGCTATCTATCTTAAGGTCGTTAGACCCCGAACCAAACACCCAAATCAACAACATGCTCAATCAGAAGTCCTGCACCCTGACATCTTCAAAGCCCTGAAGCACCCTAAGCCCTAAACCCTAAATCCCTAAGCCTCAGCCCTTTGGGAACCCAGACGCCTGGATCCCTCAGGCCCTTATAAAGCCCCGCCTTCTGAAGCCCTGAACCTGGCACCCAAAAACCCCCAAGACCTTAGTTGCTGAGTTCATAAGCCCCGAAGAAGTGTACACTTTCAGTTCTGGGATTCTAGTGTGCCAAAAATAGTGCAAAGTGTACTCATTCAGCTACTAAGAGACCCTGTTATTGGGGTTCAGGGTTCAGTGTTCACGGCTTAGGGGTTAGGAACCACACGATCCCCTGGCGCGCTTGGAGCTTTGCCTGGGCCGCCGGGGCCCCAGCGATAAGCGCCTCGCTGACCTGCAGCGCCTGTGCGACATTGTAGGGTCTGGGTTGGGATGTTCCGCCTTATACTAAGATTCCTTAGTAGGGATTAGAATAGGGGGTACTAGAATCCCTGTTAAGGATTGTTAGTCAGGGGTTTGCACTTTGGGTGCAATTAGGGCTTTTGGGCTTGTGGTTATGGGCTTTGGGGTGTAAGTAAGGCTTAGGGTCCCTAAACCCTAAAACCTAAACTCTAAACCCTCAACCCTAGACCCTATAACCCTAAACCTACAAACACCTCCAAGGGCGCAAAACCGAAGTCCACGACGCATCTAACAGGGCCTCGCATCCCCTACGACCACCGGTCCCCAACAGGGTGGCACTCACTACTACTTTTCAGGGTATGTTCACGGAAGCTGAGGATTGGGGGAGGGGGAGGGGCCAATGGGCGAGGGGGGGTTGACGCAACGCAGCCCTAAACCCAACATCAGAACATGTCTTAATGCTACCGTTGACTCTTTTGGGCTTAGCTTTGACTTTTCTAGCCGAATGAATACCACAGACCCCAAGCTCTAAACCCTAAACCTTGTAAGTAACCTGAAGCTCTACAAATCCTCAGACACAAAACCAAAAACCCAGATGAACACCAAACCAACCTGCCATCCCTTTGCACACAAAGTCCTCCCCTGCATGGGCGATTATACCCTATAACCCCTTAAGAAGGCCCTTTATAGGGTTGGCTAGGGTGATTCTAAAGGCCCAATAGCCCATGCTGGTACACCCCACCGCGGCGGCATTGTAGTCGCGGCGCCCGCAACGCAGGAATGACATCAGCTGCCTGGGCGAGGATCCTACATTCCACTCCCACCCTAAGCCCTAGAGTCCCCATTTACCCCTAAACCCTAAACCCTAAACCCTAAACCCTAAACCCTAAACCCTAAACCCTAAACCCAATTTGGGGTTTAGGATGGTCTTTTAAGGCTTGAGCCCTAATTAGAGTCCCGAAACCCCTGCAGGGCACAGTACGGCAAGGACTGAGACTTTTGGGGTGTTTAGGGTTTAGGGTTTAGGGTTTAGGGTTTAGGGTTTAGGGTTTAGGGGGCTTGGCCCTACAGCTGCAACATGGTGGGCACAGGACCCTGCATCCTGGGCATGTATTGGCGTGTTGGGGTGTGTAGGTGGCATGGCCTGGAACCCTGGCGATGCAAGGCCTTAAGCCTGAACCCGACTTTTAGGGTTTAGGGTTTAGGGTTTAGGGTTTAGGGTTAGGGTTTAGGGTCTAGGGTCCTTACATCCTCCGGGGCTTGATGGGCACTTTAGGCCAGCGCGCCGGAAGCTTACATTGTCACAAAGCTCAATGGACGCAACGTCAGAAAGCTCAATGGACGCTACGTGCTTTCCAGAATCCTAGCGGTGGTTGAAGGGGGATCCCTTGGTAGCGCGATTTCAGACTACTCGGGGAAACCCTAAGGTCTATCATCTCCAAACTCTAAGATCCTGAAACCCCAAGACCCTGAAGCCTTGTGTCTCGATCCTGGGCTCTTTCTTTTTATATTGGCTTTGGCAGATGAACTTGGCAAGTTCTCAATACCGACGTCAGATTTCGAAAAGGCTTCTGTGTGACCCCTAAACCCTAAACCCTAAACCCTGCTAAGGAAACAGAAAAGCAATGCCCTGTAGAAGAGCCTGTCAGGGTTCTGAAGCTTCGGAACTTGGCTCAAGGTGAAGGGCTTTGAGCTTAGGGTTTATCGTTTTAGGGTTTAGGGTTTAGGGTGCCATCGGTAATGTCTTGAACTCTGTAGAGCCCAAAACCGGGCAAGCTTTGGCCAAAGCGAGAGAGATCCAGCAGCCTCTGGTCATAGCGGTCGCGTGCTAGCGCTTGTCTCTAACCTGCAATGCACCTCCAAGTGAACCCCCTAACCTAAACACTAAGACTTTAACCCTAAACCCTAAACCCCAAAACCAAACCCTAAACTCTAAACCCTGTTTGGGTCCATCGCACACCTCTGCCCTTTCTACGCCAAAAGGCTCCTTCTCCTCGCTGATTGGCCCCTTACCCGGTCTGGCTCACTGGGTTGAAGCAAATGGTGCCCCAAGGGTGCGTGGAGTCGAGGGTTTTGGGGGTTTAGGGTTTAGGGTTTGGGGTTTCGGGTTTAGGCTTTGCAAGGGTTTAGGGTTTAGGAACGGGTGCTCCGAAGACTCCTAATTACACCCCTACACACTAAGCGCGCAAGAAGGTAGCGAGGTCTCAGAACATACTGCAGTGGCTTCGGCCATCGGAGAGCCCAACCGAAGATACGGAGTATACCTAGGGGATAGGATTGGGGGTCCCCCTGGGGGATATAGACCCTCTGAATAAGCCCCTGCAGAAGAGGGTTAAGAAGGGTTCCCCTTTCACGGTCCCCCTTCTCCTACCTAGGAATGTTTTAGCGGATGCCGGGACCCCCTAGTAAAATCTAAGATATGTCGCCGAATAAGGGGGTGTTGGTCTCTCTGGG